GGGGAGAAAACTCTGCGGTCCAAAACAGAGTTTATTTCCGGTGAAGAGAAACTTATGTCCCTCATAACAGACCCAGCTAAAGTGGTGACAGGTTTTCTACAACTAGGTGAGGACTACCTTCAGATCTCATGGAAACCTGTAGAGGACAGCGAGGAAAGTCTCCCTACATCCTCCCTGATCCTTGCTGCCTACACCACTTGTCACGGACGACTCCAACTTTACAAGTATCTTGACATTGTGCGGGAGCGCTCTATATACGGAGATACCGACAGTCTGGCCTTTATTAGCCGCCCTGGAGAGCCAGATCTCCCTACCGGCAGCCATCTGGGAGACCTCACAGACCAGATAGAGGAGGATCATGGGCCAGGGTCCTTTATCACGGAGTTCGTGGCTGGAGGCCCGAAAAATTATGCCTACAAAGTGGCTGTTGGTGGGGACCTGGAAAACCTTAAGGTCTGCATCAAGGTTCGAGGCATTAGCATCAACAGCTCCTGTGACCAGCTCGTCACCTTCGAGCAGCTTAAGTCGATGGTCCTGGGTGAGCAAGACAAGACCACCATCCCCATCCCACGCCAGATTGCTCGCCTCCCTGGGTGGAAAATAGTCACGAGGTCCACTAGTAAGGCTTGGCAGGCCAAAAATAGCAAACGCCGGAAGGTGGACATGGCCAACACCGTCCCCCACGGCTTCAACGAGTGGACCATGGCCGACAAGGAGGACCAAGAGATCCTCGAGGCCATGGACCTACTGGCTGACGCTTAGGTCGTCATCCTTCTTGCCATTCTTGCCTCACACCGGCGCAGGGGAGATGCTGGTTAGGCCCCATTGCCGAAAGGCAAAAGCCCTCTGTGGCTATAAAAAGACAGACACAGTTCAATGATCCATCATTCTGTTTCATGATGGATCTCAGATTCCAACATCCCTGCACAGCTCTTGTCGTGGGCGGGACAGGAACGGGCAAAACTTATTTCATGAAGCGCCTCATTGAAAACAGAGATGAGATGTTCAACACCAAATTTGAAGAGATCATTTTCTATTACTCTGAGTGGCAGTCGCTTTATGACGAGCTGAAAGATAAGGTCGATTTCAGACAAGAACTCCCTATGCTGGACGACCACCCTGCGGGCCAAGGGCCAAAGCTAATAGTGATTGACGATTTTATGGATGAGATTAAGTCACACCATAAGGAAATCCTTAAATTTTTCATAAAGGGTTCACATCATAGAAACCTTAGCATTTATTTTCTAAGTCAATGTTTGTTTCCTGATGGCCTACGACAAATAAGTTTGAACACACACTACATCGTACTTTTTAAAACGAGTCGAGACTTGGCACAGATACGTACGTTTTGTATGCAAGTCGACCCCACACATTTTAAGGGGCTCCTCGAGGCTTACCATGACGCCACGAAGGCCGGGTTTACCTACCTTCTCTTTGATTTTAAACCCAGCCAAGCTGATCATCTGCGCATGCGGACTCTCATTTTTCCTGGCGAGTCCACGGTCGTTTACATTCCCAAAAATTAGTATAAAAGGGAGATAGAAGCCACACTCTGAATCATTCGTTGACAATGGCTCCTGCCGACAAGACACACAGTAAAGCTGTGCTTCAGGTCCTCCAGTCAGCTAAACCCAACCTGCGCAAAGCTATCATAAATAGTTCTGACAAAACGATCATCTACGCTATTTG